GGGGGGGTGGGGCGTTGGGTGGAGTGGGATGACGGGTGGGGGCGCCTATGTTCTCTAATAACGATGGGCACTTTTTTTAACATAAGAGCCAACGCAGCTTTATTTGCAGCCACAATAACAACCTGTAGTGGACGGGAGCCACGGCTTCACACACGCTGCAGGAAATCTATAGGGAAAATGGCTTTGTTTGTTTATTGAATGTTATTTTCTGCCTAATAACTGCATTATGCAGTAGTGTGTTACACTCTTCCTGTCAGGTTTGGTTTTTTTTTCATGTTTTTTTTTTAACTCAAATATTTATTTTGTATACTTTTGACTTTTATGATTATGATTATCAGAAGTCTATATGCCTCGGACGTCACGTCCACACCATTCACATTCTCAAAGAACACGTCGTTGTGGTACAAAAGCAGCCTCCGCTCCACGTACTCCTACAAACCAAATATCAGCAAAAATGTCAGAAATTATGAAGCGATAATATTTTATTTCCCAAAAGTCGAAGGGCAGCTTTATGTGACACCACCTCACTTTTCTGTCCATTATTCAGTGACATGACTCAGGCGACGGCGACTATATTTCACACTGAATTGGTGACACTAATGATGGGTTACCACCTTAAGACAGAGTTGAATGTATGGATCATCAGTGCTGCCATTTTTATGATGGATATAAAGCCTCTATATTCGGAAGCCTCTAGTATATATATATGTATGTATGTATGTATGTAGCATCACTGTGTTGGATCAGGATCCATTCCCACTGTTTGGTTTACCACGTGAGTCTGAGTGTAAAGTGTAACTCGACTGGCTGTCGGTGCCATAAAAAGGCGAGGCAGTGGTGCTCGCTGGGTTATGAATTTCAGAATGATGGATGCCTTCTGTTTGTGATATCCACACAAAGGTTATTCTTGTGGGCAGAAGGCAGACCCGCCACAGCTTAAAGGTCACGGTTAGAAAAAGAAACGTCTGTCTCTGCATCAGTGCCAGTTTGGGACAGGAGGGAGGCTGTAGCTAATCTGATCTGCGCAAAAGTCACCGGTGTCACTCCCAAAATTGTTGAAAATATGTTTTTGTGGCTGCTTGGATTTTGTCAAATCAGTATGTTGTGTTTTGTCAAAGCATGAAGCTTCAATTTATTATTAATTAACACATGTTAATACAGAAAACAGAATATTTACAGTTACACTTAACGTTACTTTCCTACACTGCCTCCTCCTGTCCATCTCTGGCAGTTGAACACATGCTAATGTTGCCTCATTATCCAGGGATTAACCCTTTGAATGATTTGTTGACTTGGTGAACCTGGAAGGCTGGAGTAAATCTTCATGGACTGTATAACCTGCAGCATGATGCAGCATGATGTTTTTGGTTTGGCTGCTGATGATTTGGGTTAATGTTCCTTCTTTTACAATGTCTGCATAACTACATCAGGGAGAGAGAGACATTAACCCATGCTATAACATATTGGTGAATATTCAAATCATAAAGAAAAAATTGAATATTTTATTATCCTGAGGTCTTATGTTTATGCTGGAGTAGATGTGGTCGGAGAAAGAAGGTTCCCAAATTTGACCTTTGGTCTTTCTCTGTGAAGAAAGCATGTTGTTCCAGTGTGTGTGTGAGTTTCCTCCACTGTCCAGAAACATGCAGATTAGGGATTAGGTTGGTGTGACACTCTGATTCGACTGTAGGCATGACTGTCAACGGCCCCCGTGACCCTGACAAAGATTAAGTGGAAGAGGAGGAAGAGGATGAGTGAATAAAAGAGAGTTATTTGGTAGCTATTAATAAGTAAATCAAATGACAAAAACATTCACAGTGAAACATGGGCTGGTCTCACACTGCTGTAACAGGAACAACCAGTGGTTTCTCGGGCCACAGGACTTCTCCGTCTATCACTGTCAGACCTGCATACCTCTGGACACTATGTCAATGCTGTCACAGCGCTCAGCTGGCGTCCCTGGTGAGGTGTACATTGCTGGAGCAGAAATGGTAGCCAACAGTTAGAACATAATGTTAGAATGGACGAGGAGCAGCAGCCAAAATCTCCATTTCCACATAAATGACTCCAGTTTTGTTTAAAAACATGCTGCAGGTGTTGCCAAGTGGACCTGCGGGGGTTAGGTTGAGACACATCAGCAGAACACGGCTTCCTGTCAAAGCCAAAAAGCTCGATTCGATTTAAGTGCAATAATGTAGTGTGGAGACTAAGATGGATCTAAGCCCCTCCCATCGTTATACTGTTTTCAAACTGATTGTTTACAAACTGGACAACAGGTAATTATCACGTTTGTTGTGTATTTCT